TCTTCTAGAATAGATTTCCCCATAGAAGAAGAATGGAAAACTGTGATACGATTTACGACTGAGTTTAGCATTTCTGGATAAAACATATCATTCTCACATCCAGTCTAGAGAAGATTAGTTATTTTATCTCTAAAAGAAACGTCTGACATCGATCACTTTTTCAGGTAACAAAAATTGGCTACAAATTAGGTCAGAAAGAGGCAATGAATGGCATCGCGTGTCGGAAGTATGCTTCGGGTCACGAGTGCGTTTATCGTCTTCAGAGAGAGATTCAAGCGTTGTGTGGGCAGTAATAGAGATGAAGTCACCTGGGGGAGGGGTTTCCTGACTCAAGGTGATCCGGTTGAAAAGCGAGAGGCCCTTCGAAGGAAAAAGTCTGTCTGAAGAATCCTCACAAATAAAAAGAAATAGAACGAAAGAGGTCAGCGAGAGACTAATTTCTATTGCCTCAAAAAGAATATTATTAACTTCAGAAACACTGTTTCCATCATACCAAAGTGTCCTCGGATAAAGGAATTTTGATATAACAAAAACTAAAATTCTAGAAAAATGTAAAAAAGAAAATAAAAAATGACATATGATCTGATTACTAAAGTTGTGATGAGCAGGAAAATGTAATTAGTAAGAAAAACATGTGGATTTTTTGCTCAAACATTTTTCTAGCCGAGATCCGAGTGCGTCATCGTCTCCAGATGTTTAACGAACATTTTCTTTTTTTTTGTTTGTGAGAACAGACTTTACGCTTGAATGTCTGTAGACTGTTCACCCCTATGAACAGTAAATTAATTCTGACGACGACATTATTTGCACCCCCGTATTTCTGGACCTTGAAGCGGAGCCAGTGACTCATTGTCAATGACTGTCCATTAATTTCTACCTTGTTTCATTTACACTGGATAAGCGGCAGCGTTGGAAGTCACGATTTTATTATGCATCAATTTACTTTCGATTATTTGTTTCAAAAGGTAATACCTAAAAATGGATATTTTCTTTCTCATGTACAATAAAATTAAACTTATTTTAGAATTCCCATTTTCAACAGTTAAGTATTTTCTAAAATAGGTATGAAAGAACTAATCTAGAAAAATAATTGTCAAATCAATAATACAGCCTTAATGAATTTAATCCTTTACTAAGAATAACTATACAAAACTAAAGACAGAAATAGGTTATGTCTCGCATCTCCAGTTATATAAACAGTCTGTGCATCTTGTACACAGGGTCAAGTTAAGGTTGTCTTGTTTCTGAAATGACTTTACAATGCAAATACATGTTGCCGTGATTCGAACAATATCCTCTTTTTTGTCTAAGGAGTCAGTTGCTAGCGTCGTGACGCTGCATTCGTTTCTGGCACAAAAATAGTCAGCCGACGGCGAAAGATAAAGGCGACCCAGTCGAATGAAAGACCGACTTGAAAGCGACAGATGAATAAAACAAGTTTAAGGGGGTATTCCCATTTGTAGGCGTCATTTTTAGGCATGTTTTAAGATGAAATATTATTGAATCGTTATAAACCAACGTACTTAAAATTTTTTATACATATTTGCTGTATTTCAGAAACATACAGCATAATTTTTGAGAAATTATCTTTACTATTAGTCAAATTACTGCATATTGATTGCAGTATCAATCTGAATAGCTATCGCTATTCGTGTTGTTATATTCATTTTGGATAATAAAATTTGTACGAGTCTGATTATCATCAATATTATAATATTCAAAATATTATTATACTTCAAGAATATATAATAAAAAAAATAGAAATTTTGACCTCCAAAAGCGGAAATATTCCTTTAAAGAGGAAAAATCATAGTAGACGCCACGATAAATCGTGTTTTCACTGCCCTTTCCGCCTTTTACTAACGCCATCTAAAAATAACCCGGCGCACGAACAGGGAAAGTGTGTCCTTGGTTCTTTGGAGAACAAAGATTGCAATTGATAAATTTTAAGAAATGAAAATATAATAGCAAGTATTATTTATTCATTTAACTTTACTTTTACTATTTATATACCTTTATCTTCTGCTATAAATATCCCCTTTTGTTCTCTAATTATACACCATGTTTCCAGCAAACTCTGTATCGAAGATCAAACTTCTCTCACGTGATACAGTTTGTGGCGACGCAAGGAATTACGAAATAACCGTACCGGTTGCCCAAGACGCTCTATGTGTCCGGTAGTTTCTCTTTGTTCCACTGGCTGCCTCCAGGATAACCGGCTATCCTCACCTCTATATACACACATTCTCGCACCGCATTGTAATTACACAGTTCTTTCTGTTCCCCGAGCTGTTGATCCATTTAGAACGAATTATGTTTTTCTCCATGAAATTTCATGTAACACCCATGTATATAATCTCCAATTACTATCGTGTAATAAGAAAACAAACCTGGGAGTTTCTTTAAAAAGCGATTAGGAAATTTCTACATTTTACTTTTATTTTAAAAAATTTTCTAGTTCTCAAACCGGAACACAAAGTGAAATGTGACGAAATATTAATGGAATGGTAATAAAAAATATTTTATAGCTGAAAAAAGCAATTCAATAGAAATATCATCGATTAATGGTAGCACTTAATAGTAAACTAATGACATTAGTTCACTGTGCCAAAGAAAATATTGAATAGCATCTTTTTCATAGAGTATTCTTTGTTTACAGCAATGCATCAAAATGACTACGTTAATTGGTCGAAAGCATCTCGTTGAACGGAGGAGAAATCGTCAGGAGTCGACTGTAGAACGAAGTCATTGCAGCACTACGGAATCCATTCTTTACTGGTTGAGCAATCGACGATTTGCAATGTGAAACAATCGTTTCCATTCTCGTTCCGCGTTCAATCGGTATAAAAAAAGAACAATTTTCATAGAATCAAAGACTAGTTATTATAAAACAATGATTTGATCGATGTCCACAGGTTTCCCACTTTATCAATGACCGTCGAGCATCAGTCAGGATGAATACCTAAGTATGTAGCATCGATCATTGCTGACGATACTTACCAGGAGCACTTATATCCAGAACAAGGGTCGTAGATTGAAGTTCACGGAGGATTAATCATACATTCTTAATGGGAAGCGGGTCACTAAACAGTCAGAGGTACTTAATGCCAACGAAGTGACGAGCACTATCGATTACCATTAACAAAGATGGCGCATGAATCAATACCCTGAATTACCTACCATCGGTGAAGTGACATTCACCATTAGAGTCTTGTGTGTATCATATTATTATGGGGTCATTGAATTATCGTTCAGGTGCAAAACCGGCGTTAAAAACATATATTGAACACTTAAGAAAAGACATGAAGATCTTTAAAGGTCAGTTCCAAAGGATAAAGGTTATCAGTGATGAACATTCACATTGACCTGATCAGTGGCCTTTGCGTTGTTTAAATTTGCTTCTTTCATAAAAGAAGCAGGCAAGTGAGCTAGATAATAATCTATTTGACCTTTATCTACCTTCCCTTTTTGGATCGATTAAGTTAATTTTGAAAGAAAGTCGAGTTGAACACACCGAATCCGAATACAGAGGGAAAGGAAACATCTCTGAATTTCAGGCTTCCTCTAAAGTAAATTTATGTAATAAAAACAACAATGACTGGAAGTCGACGAAGCGTGTGTGCACTCTTCCAGGTCAAAGTTAACGCTCGGGTGAACTCCACACAGAACAAAAATGAGGATTACCATCTGTGTTGAACAGTACGTTCTATAAAGGAAGTCCCGAAAACCTATGACTTTAATAAGAATCTCAAAAACCTGTAATAATTTCTCATACCAAATATTTTTTTTAGATTTAATCCAGTCTAAATTTCCAAATCTCGAAAGGATTCACAAGAAACAAAAGACCATACAAAATGACTGATTAGTTAAAATCACAAGATTAGACATGTCTCTAGCATTCTACGATCCCGTTGTTCTTCTCGTATTAATTACTGCCGCCATATATTCCCATAACATAGCAAGAGGCGAAAAAAAGTTTCTCGCTTTGTCGGCCCAGCATCATTAGGGTCAAATCCCCACCCCATCGGACTATCCCCGCCAGAATTCCTGTTCTATTTCACACGAGTGACATGCATCGGAAAAGACGCATTAGGGTCAAACGGAAACGGATATTAGAAAACAGTCGAGTTCGAGACTATCTTTCCGCGCCATAAGCGACAATGACCTTGAGTTCTAACGAATCGTCGTCGATGAAACGACATCAGTGAAGCGGCCTCGATTCCATCAAGGATAAGGTCTCTCAGGGGAGATCCCAGGAGAGCTTCCGATTACTTTCGCCATTCTAAACGCATTCGAATTTCTAACAAGTTATTCTATCGTCTTATGTTCGACGCGATCGACGCCGCGGAGAAATTCATGGGAATCTGCTTACCGCTAGTAACGATTTCGCGGCTGTTTGAGAAATTTAAAGAGTGTTCAAGAATTTGCGTTTTATCATGTGTTCTTAGAGCCGAGTTTTTCGATGTGAATTCTAAATTTACATTAAAATTTGAGAATTATTAATATCGGGCATTTGAAAATTTGAAAATTTAAAAATTCTTTATTCTATACTAAAACCTCCTGGCAAAGAAAAAAGTGAAATGGTGAGTACATTAATTGATTCGATATTCATGAATTATAACTATATGTATAAGTGAGAAGGTTAATTATCTGACGGTTAACTTGCTTGTAGTAAAGTTGCACAATCTCAATTGATCCGTTGAACCTTGACACGATATATGTGGTTTTGCTTTCTAGATATAACGAGGTGCATATAGGTTTAATAAGGTATACAAGAATCGTGGTGTGCTGCTTGTACCAGACGCGTATTGATGTCATCTATTCAAATATCCGCGTGATAGTAAGAGGATATACTGCCAAAGGCGCATCAATAGGTTTACGAGAATATCCAGCCTTTTCGTAACGAATGAAAGGTATTTTATCATTTTTTTCTTTCTTATTATAATTTTGAAGCAACCAAAATTTCTATAAGAAAATGACAGACGATCAATCACACTCACCGAAAATTCCCTTTGGCCCTTCAGCTTCAAATTCTTTCAAAGTATGAGAGTACCTCTTCTGTCTTGAATTATTTGTCAATCACTGTCAAAATTTATAAGTCTGAACAAAATTCGTTTCAGAAGAGTCACCAAACACACAATATCGTGACCACGAGCGTGCAAAGGCTCGTTCGGAACTGGAGAGTACAGCCAGCAGCACGTCAATGAAAGAATACCGACATCACCGCCGCTCATTCGAGCATCTCCTGCACGTGCGCGTGCAACACGCACGCGTGCACACGTTCTACGAACATTGATGGGTAGGATTTGCCCTTCCTTCCCTAGACCCTTGTCGGAATAATATCGAGATATCGATTCGTTTAGATGCCTGGTGGTCCCTCCATTAGTTTTGTAGAAGCTGAGAATTTGTTAAACTAATCTTCCAATGAGGAATACAGTTGGTGAATTGAATGGTGAATTTATGGTCAAATCCTCGAGCTCATGATCGATGACTAATATTGTTTACAATCTGTTTTCCTTATAGGGCACAATTGAAATCTAATGCAACAAATTAGTAAACTATGAGTATATTTATTGCGATCTTATTGGTTAAAGAATTTTTTGTTAATAAATATTTTTAATTAATTTCTTAACTGATAATTAATAGCTATTCAGAATTAATTTTCTTAAAACTTAAGATTTGATCTCAAACTTTTTCGCAATTATTCTTTCAAAATACACAAATAACCTAAAATAACCAGGAAAATAGGATCACTTCCAAGACAATTTTTATTTCTCGAAATTTGTACGATAAAACAATGAATAGGCTAACACATGATTACTACAAAGACAGTACATAATTTTACGAGAAATATCGTTCACTCTGTCATGTAGAATAATCACGTTGTATCTGCTAATTGGTTCTTGTCGTGAGATTTGTACAAATAACCGGTCATCTGCTCTTAATCGTCGCTCTTTGTAACTGGCGTATCATCTGGAACAGAAGTAACTAGTTAAAATTTTCGGATGCACGTTGCTAGATGGTAAAGTTCCTTTGGTGAAAGGGAATCCCTGTTGGCTCGTTTCATTGTACGCCAGTCCCATTGTTTTTTCATTCTTTGATATGTGTTTGTATTTTCTACCGGTCGATATCCTCTTATTGTCTTTTATTGTACTATAACAATAGTGCACAGTGAAAAATGATTATGTAAACGGATACTCATTTTAGGTTAGAAATGTAATATATCTATTACAGAAATTTTTTACAAATTTATATAACTTTTATTCTGATGATTCTATTATGCGTTGGTTGTAAATAAGTATCTATTTGAATTAAAAGATCGTTAAATTTTTAGAGAAACTTTGTAAAAGATTATGTTATTTTTCTTAGGGTAATTTCTATTAAAATTTTTATTAAAACTTATATTACATTATACTACATATTTCAATTTCGTAAGCAGTAGGAATTTTCCTAGAAAAAATTTGATATAGTGTTATGTCATAATTTCTTCCTATTTTAGAAAGAGAAATAGATAAAACACATACACACCTTTTTTGCATCCTCTAAATTGGCAGGAATATATTTTGAGTTCACTGTCTGTGCTAGACTACTGTAGTCTCTATAGAGGATGTATTGATCCTTCAACCATTGCCTTATCATCAATATTTTCTCTTGTAATTCAGCAATTTCATCTTTTGCCTTGAACTTTATATCTTCCAGATCTGTTTTTAAAAATAACTATCATTATCTTAATTACATTATTAATATTTAATTTAAAATATATACACACAATAATGGATAATAATAAAAAAGTAAGACAAAAATATAGAATAAAATTTCGAAGCTTTATTTTGGAAAAAATTGATGTTAAATATTTATCTAATACGCGTGCATCAATATTTAACAGATCTTGTGATAAACTAATATATAATATATAATATATATATTTCTCTCATCGTAAAAGATCAAACTATCATAATAATCATAAACTAAAAACATATACTCAATATTTGAAGTTAGTTCTCTCGAAATCATATAACAAAATTATTTTGTTTTTGGCTTATTTTTACACACAATTTCCTTATCGATTGTATGTACTACAGAATACTGTTACAGCACAGTCTGTGTATTTGAAATAAGAAAAAATGAAACTATTTAAAAAATCAGTAATATTCTATTTTTAACAGTTGTAGTAAAAGAGAAATCGTTTACCAGGTTTCACGAATGCCTCAATTTTCGGAAATTCAAGCGGTCTGAAGACAGATAATTGAGAAGTTGCATTAGATTCCCCGGGGCTAAATCCTAATCGTGTGCGTTCCAACTGCAGCAAGTAATTACGGATGTCCTCGCGTTCTTGTTGTAGCCTGAATATTGCTGTTTGTTTTCGCAGGCAATGCGTTTGTCTGCAGTCAGATCTTGAATACTTTCCTTCGACTTTATTACAGTTTGATAATTTTCGACTTTTCGTTGTCCTTGAAACTTTCTTGTTCTTAACCTTCTTCCGTTTAAGCTTTTGATCATGATTGGAGTCCTTAAACTATAAATGATTTTTATAAATGAGTCATAATTTTTTAGCACGTTGTTAATGAAAAATAAACATCTTTTAAATAACTTATTTATTAGAAAATTCACCATTTTAACATTTTGTGCCGATGAAGCGTCGCTATCGTCATTCTCAGTGTTCCTACCCGCATTTGCAGGAGGAATCTTAACTATGGTTCCACAATTTTTACAGTGTCTAGATTTATTTGGAGCTACTCTTGTAGTTTGAACCCTGTTTCTCCTAACTATGGCATTAATTGCATCCTTGTTCAATTTTCTCAGAGTACTAATAACGTTCGATTGCTTTGGAGTCTCCCTAAAAAATTTCTCTTCGCTATAAGTCGTTTCCAGGTTATCGTTTTCAACCTCACTCCTTGACCATCCCCCTTCTATTTTATTAATACATTCTTCTCTATCTTGCTCATTCAATAAAGAAGTCTCTTGAATTTTCTTTTCACTTTTTCTGAAATAAAACAAAAAGAAATGTGTGCAGAAAGTAACCTATTTTTAAAATTTTAGGTGACTGAGAAGAACTTCGCGGACCAGAACAACATGTAATTGCTTCTTACGTGGATGTCAAGAATTCCTGTTCTCCCACTACATTCTTTTCCATGGTATTTTCCTTACGGTCCGTTAATCTCTCGTGTTCAGAAACCACAGTGGAATCGGTCTTCTCCTCTGTGCTTTCATTTAATGATTTCTTGTGCTTCTTATTCTTCCTTATGTGCTTCTTCGTCGACATTATTTGTTTGGGTAGTTTCAGAAGACTAATCGGCACTGCCTCGTCAGCGTTTTCCGTCGTCTTCACGTAATTTGAAAGCTCCTCGTCAAGGTCAATATTACACTCGCTTGTACTCTGCATTATTTTTGGGGCGATCAGCTCCACGATCTCTTTGTCTCTGAGAAAGGAGCATAATTCCAACTGTATCGTCATTTCCTCTTGCTTTACTTCGCGAAATTTTTGAGAAAAGTGGTTCAAAGTTAAAATAGGTGATCTTGAAAGAATTTGGAAGTAACTTCAACACGATTTCATTTCCGCTTAATTTTTTAACACTTAAAGTATTCTTGAAATATTCTTGATTCTATATCATTATTATTTAATAATCGTAATACATAAAAGAAGAATTTAGTGTTCTGAAGTGCCTATAAAGATCATTGACATAATATTTCTAATTGTTTAATATTTAAAAAGCTTAGTTTAATAAGGAATATACGTAACTCGAGAAAGAAGTAACTTGAAATAATTCTTTTTCCCTATTGTTCAGTTTAAATCTACTTTTAACTTTGCTTGTCTTATGAAGCATATTAGGTAACTCGAAAATTCAGATTTCTTTAAAACTTTATGGATTTGTTGTGGACCTTAAGGAATATTCTAAACTACTTTTTTTACCGACTAAAATTCGGTTCTTCAGGATGAAAATACCCCTTATTTACAGGAAATCCATAAAATGAAAAAAAAGAAATCTGAATCGTCGAGTTAATTAATAATTACAATATTCACAATATTCATATCTCAATTTTAATTACCTGCCCTCGTCGATCATCGTCTTCTGAATATTTTGTATCTGCTTGTGCGGAATGATCTTGATCTGTTTTACCCCAGAAATTACAGTATCCTCATCTGAGATATTCTTCTGCCGTTCTTCTACAGAACTAGATGATTCAATGGAACTCGATACTTCTTCGAAGGTGTCATCTTCGTACTGAGTCTTCCGGTCCTCTCCATTGCAAACTTTTTCTACCGAAACGTCCTTATCCATCGTGTCTGACAGTTCAGAGATGATTTCGCTTCTTTCTTCACTTATCTTGATAATTTCCTCTATTGTCGTTTCATTATTACCATTATTTGAAACTAGAACGCTATCCTCGATTACTGTCACTTCTGGTATATTTGATTTTCCGTCGCTTCTCCTGGAGGAAAATTCATTGACAGATTTTTCTGCTTCTGAAATTATTTCAGAAATATCTGAATGCCTAGAAAGCACTGTAGCAGCCGTAGAGTCATCATTGTCCCTTAGAGGATCTTCAAATCCTAGCATAGGAACCTTAATTTTGATCTTGGAAATAGACTTCGAGTTTAAAGTATCTTTAAGAGACTCTTTTGTTTTAGAAGTATCACTTTCCTCTTCCATTTCATTATTTATCACATCTTCTGTTATAAATTTTGTTGTAATAAATGCCTCTGGAGATTTTTTCAAAGTGGTACTGTCACTAATCACAGATTTGTCATTTTCTGAGTTAATTGGAATTTTTATCTCCATCTTGGATTTCGAAAATACCTATAAAAATATTAAAAAATTAAAGAAAATAAAAATTCTGCGAGACCTAAACACGGTTAAAAAATTTTCAATTTTAAAAGAACATCAATATGATATAAATAATTCTAAAAATAATTTCGCGTTAGAAATAATTTTTAATTTCAAGCTTAATACCCTAAGTGATCTTGAAAATTTCTATCAGATATTTAAAGTGACTTATTTCAACTGATCAATACCTTGGATTTAATTTCTTTTTCTGCAGTATCTACTGATAAAGTTGGACTATCTTCTGAACTGTCTTTATTACTCAAAACCTTAGGCTTGACTTGCAAATCCCTTAAAGACCCTTCTAGAGAACTTTCAGTGCTGACGTTACTCTGAACTCGTTTGCCCTCGCTACATTTGATATTATACTTCCTGTCCATTTCCTTCAGTCTCATCAATGCAGCTGTCGCCTTCGAACTTAACATTATTTTCCTTTTTTTAATTTTCTCTATTTTCTTCTAGATCCATCCACAGAGGAGGACTCCTCTGGTCTGACTAGACCTTACTAGCTTCACTTGTAGATTTTTTGGCAGACGAACCGAAACGAATTGCGCCTGCTAGAAGCCGTTACCAAGGGGACAAATTGATAAACAATATGGTCTGAAAGCTAGTATATCGTTTAAAACTGTTCCTCACGCAGGAGCTGAAAAGTTATTGCATTAACAAGAATATGAAGCTTTATTTGGTCAGTTTATTGTAATATCCATAGTTAAGATTGTTCGATACCTCGTGTAAACAAACAAAATCAACCATTAAACATAATAAAATTCTATCTGTTTTATCGACATCTTTATGTTTGCTATGGGAGGGAAAAGTCGGCTGACCTTCGAGGTGTGAAATAATTTTGAATGATTACTGGTTACATAATTTTCGACATATTACTGTGTATAAGTGATTTCTTGTTATCTAACAATTTTCCGGTAACATAATTACATAAGTGTTTATAAAAACTGGGACCTATAGAATTCTACCAGATATAAACATGAAGCGTTAACAAATAAATGAACACTGATTAATAACAATAAGAAGGAAATATGTAATATATGTAATATAATTATTCTTTAATTTACTTTTACACATTATATTACCAATATAAAATACTGTTCCAAAATTGATTCAATATTTTATAAAATTCAATTCTATTTGAATATCGCTCCAGAGAATGATCATTAAAGGATTAACCAATAAGAATGTTTTACTGAATTACTACCTTCTATTTTCTACCATATCAACAATAGATAAAATAAGATAAACGCTGACGTGAGGTTATGTGCATGCAGCATGGCTATAAGCTGCCACGGCGTGGCGCCCTGTTGGTTGAGCGTGGTCAACTCTGATTGGCGTTCCCATGCCAGCCAATGAACACCCTCCATCTGTCTACCCCAGCGGCTGCTAACTTACCAACCACGTCCACGATTTGAGCATTATCGGCCAGTTCGTCGTAGAGTAAGCATATTCGTCGACCGGACTTTTGCTGTCCAGGCGTCTAAAAATGCGATCCTTCTGCTCGTTTCTGCTTCTGCTGGTGATTACAATCACCACAGCAGAGATTTATTTTGAAGAAAAATTTCTTGATGGTAAGTAAACACACTTTAAGATATTTTTAATTGTAGTTTTATTTTCAATTCCGTTGCTTCATTCCAAAAACCTTACATCCGATCAAAAGGAGTGTTAGAACAATTAACGGGACTTTCCTCTCGGTTTTATCTGGGAAAACCACACCCAGGTTTTTAATTAATGTAATTTCCAGTAAAACAGTGATCGATTATGAAGTTCTGTCCAGAAATCTGGTAATTTTAAGAGAGACCGTTTAATGTATTTCACCTTGGTAACCACACGCCCTCACTTCAATCGCTTTTGTAATGCCGTGTGCTTGTGTATGCATATGAATTTCTACATAATTAATACTCGATTTGATAATCGAGTGTTGTAGAATTGTTTACGATGCCATATGCCAAGCGGAAAAATCGAAGTTACTGTGAACGTGGCATGAGAACCGTCTCGTGGCGAGGGCCATCAGCATATACGGTTTGCGTTCCACCGACATGACGAGCAATCGATTGGTTGATCTGCGTTGAACTCTTCGAGAAATAAACTTGCTCGTACCTCGAAAAAAACGTGTCAGAGCGATACAATTATACGTCGCGTTTAATTCGATTTTTAGGTAGATTTTACTTAAGAAAATGATTCCTCCTCAAGATAATTGAGTAAAACATCAATTTTAATTAAATATATTTAACAATTCCCAGAGTATTTTAAATTTCTGAAAATTAAAGTTTCTATAAAAATTTATTATTATAGTTTGTAAATATTTTTGCAAATGATTTTATAAAGTAAGAATATTTTCAATAGCACTAATTTTCTTTTTAATAAAAATTAATTATTAAAAATTCATTGATATGAAAATATATTTTTATGTGTATCTTATATAAATGAATATTTTACAGATTCTTGGGAAAAAAATTGGATTTACTCTGAACATCCTGGGAAAGAATTTGGGAAATTTGTTTTGAGCCATGGAAAATTCTGGAATGACCCAGAAAATGACAAAGGTAAACAAAAGAAATTATACATCTGTTAAACAACATTTCCCTTATCAATACATATAAAGTTATAAAAGAATCAAGATTTTTAAAAAATGAGTTACAAAACTAATTTTTCAAAATTCTAACTATAATTGCTAACATATTAGGAAATTATGTAATCTTTTAGAAACTCCCATTTTTGTACTAATAAATCATTTTTTTAATTTTTTAAATAATATATGATAATATCTTTCATTCTGAATATTTTCTTATATAAGTATGTAGTTTCATCACCAGCAATTCCATTCATACATACAATTCGTTTCTTTCATGTCTTAATTCAAATCATATGTTATTCTTAATACACTGTGAAAATTGGATATTAGTTCTCCATAATTGTTCATTGATCACAAGGATATATAACTGATGTTTCTATACTGAAACCTATTAAAATAATTCATTATGACATATAAACATAAAGTGGAAAGGGAACAATCAATTTATTATTTTTATACAGCAAAATAGTTCTTAAAGCAAACAAGTTACTTGCTTTAATTAAAATAAAAAATTGTTTATGACTTTTGAAGCATTAATTTTTCAAATCATGTTTACTTAAATTCTTTTTTATTATTTTGTATGTATTGAAAAGTATAATTTTATATATACAATTTAGTAGTATAATTTATACTATGATGTTTCATTTGCAATAGGTATCCAAACATCTCAAGATGCCAGATTCTATGCTCTAAGCAGAAAATTCAAACCATTCAGCAATAAAGATAAAACACTTGTTATTCAGTTTACTGTTAAACATGAGCAAAATATTGATTGTGGTGGTGGATATGTAAAAGTATTTGACTGTTCATTGGATCAGAAAGATATGCATGGTGAAAGTCCTTACCAGATTATGTTCGGTAAGAATCTTTAATTATTTTAAAAAAAGAAAATGAATAAAATTCCGAGTCTAGAGTCACTAGTTATACCTTGTTGTGAACTGGTGCTGATTGATCTCGGAAAGTAAATTCTTACTTATGCCCTGAATATAATAATTATATATACTTCAGGCACCAGTAAAGATACATTAATCACGTGTTAATTAAATATTGAAAAAGTAGTAAAATCTTGGATGTAGTGAATATTGTAAAATTATTTTTTACTATTTTCCTCTCTGCTACAGAAATATAAAGCTTGATATATTCCTGGCAGAGATCCAAGAAATATGATCTTTGCTAAATGTGATGTTTCTTCGCAGGACCTGATATTTGTGGACCAGGAACAAAGAAGGTTCATGTGATCTTTAGTTACAAGGGCAAAAACCTTTTAATCAATAAAGATATCCGCTGTAAAGATGACATTTATACTCACTTATACACTCTAATTGTTAAACCTGATAACACATACAAGGTAAGTCAGTAAAACAAATTATAGACTATACCGAGCCTAGAGTTATCTATTCTCATTGATTTACTACAGAGAATAGGTGCTAATGGATCTCGAAGAGGAATGATTATCTAGCTCATAAAATGTATATAAGTCACATATCGTATTTACAAAAGTGACAAAGAACGACATCATAGTTTATCCCATAGTATTTATTAAAAAGTAGCAGGTTTTTCTTTTTTTAAATTGTATTTAATTTTTTACATTCGTTTCCTAGGTTTTAATTGATAATGAAGAAGTAGAGTCTGGTGAATTGGAAACAGATTGGGATTTCCTTCCACCAAAGAAGATTAAAGATCCTTCCAAAAGTAAACCTGATGATTGGGATGACAAACCTACTATCCCTGATCCCGATGACAAGAAGCCAGATGACTGGGACAAACCTCAGCTCATTCCTGATCCCGAAGCTACTAAACCAGAAGATTGGGATGATGATATGGATGGAGAATGGGAAGCTCCAATAATCAATAATCCCGAATATAAGGTTAGTTGTACCAAGTTATGTTTAAACAAGTTATTAATGTGGATATCTATTTAAATTGATATTTTTGTTCAGGGTGACTGGAAACCACAAGAAATCGACAATCCTAACTACAAAGGACCTTGGATCCATCCAGAGATTGATAACCCTGAATATATTCCTGATCCTGAATTGTATAAAAGGGATGAATTTTGCGCCATTGGCTTTGATCTCTGGCAAGTGAAAGCTGGAACAATTTTCGACAACGTCCTAATCACAGATGATCCCGAAGTTGCCCGTAAATTCGGTGAAGAAGTTTGGAAACCCACTCTAGTAAATATCACGAAAGGGTTATAATTATTATGTTGATAAAAATAATATAATGATGTCAAAAGCGATGCTGATTTTGATGAGCGATAAAAAAGCTGGAATTCCTCGTTGCTGAAATTACATAACTGAAATTAACATATTTTATAATATAAAGTGACATATATTAATTTTGTGTTTATATACGTATTGCAGGAAGGTGAGAAAAAGATGAAGGAAGCTCAAGATGAAGAGGAAAGAAAACAAAGACAAAAGGAGAGTAAAGAGAATGAAGATAACAAAGATGATGATGAAGATGAGGATGCAGATGAAGAGGACAATAGTGTCCCTGATGCTGAAGTAAATTTTGTTTAACAATTATTTGAAACTATTCTTTGCTACTTTCAATGATGTTTTTATTTAGCTCTGATTTAAACTGATTGATAAAATGGCTACAATTTCTCATTTACTGAGAATAAAATTTAATGGTCCGTACTTTTTTACAGTTTTGATTGTGTTACTAAAATTTTTTTTTGTATTTTTCAGGAACACGATGAATTGTAAATAATGTGTTGTAATTGACACGAACACAGACTGTATTCCAGGAGCTGTGTGGCCGTGACACGCAATAACTTCCCACGAAAAATGCAAAAAATTATAACAAAAAAAGGAAAACTAACCATTGTCATTAAACAAATGGACATCATTCGATCGGATGAAAGTCTACGAAAAAAATAGATACCTATTAAATTTGTGGAAAATTTCAAAATCAGTGAATTTTATAGAATTTTCTTATTTTCTTCTAATCTAAACATGGCCTTGTCTTAGTAGCCTAAACATTCTAATCTAGTCTTCAACCATTCGATCGTATACCGTGAAATTCATCAGTGAGAAGTTATATTATGAACATTGAGTGTCAAAAAAGAAATTAAAGTGTGTTCATTATGTGCACCCAAAATATTAGATGAACGCATTACGTGCATATGTAGTATGTATGTATCATCAGAGTCATCTTGCCCCGTGTCCCTCCCATGACACAGCTCCATAAAAAGACTCTAAGTTGTTCCGTTTTTGTTTGTCAAGTGTTTTTATATACAATTGAAAGATAATTGAGATGTAATTTAATGATGCTATATATATATAT